AACATATCAATGGATTTATCAATAAATGAAACCGCGAACGCTATAAGATTAATCAATGGAACTAATGACGATACTGACACAAACACATATATTGAATGCAATAATACAACGGGTGGAACAACATTATTTAAACCGACATATTTTAAGGATAATATCTTTTATGAAACTGATAACTTCAATATTTCCAATAATTCGGGACTAGCAATTTACAAACCAACAACAGACGCCAGTAATGTTGTACGTAGCGATTGCTGATAATAGCGGGGAATTAAGATTTAGAGGTTTTAGTATTGATGCTTATAATACCAATGTCTCATCGCAACAGCTATTTTTAAATATGAACAATTCAAACGTGGTAAGATGTAATAAATTAGGAATTGGAGCTGATGCCGTTGTTGATGTTCTTAATGTTAATGGTGGTAATTCTAATTTTAGTTCAACGGTAAGATTTCATTGTGCTACTACGTTTAACAATGAAATATTAATATGGAATAATAGTAAAACATATAGAAGAGCAGACGCTAATAATTCATTAAATCTAATAACAAATGACGAAATAAGTTTCTCATTTCAGACAAACAGAGCAACTGACCCCACAGCAACAATAGCATTGCAATTACCCGACACCAACGGAATAACATTAAACAGAGCAGTCACAAATAATTTGACTTTTAACAGTATAGGAAGAATGACAGCTGAATCCAGATTTAGATGTATGGGGAGAGTTATTTTTTCAACATTCGTCTTCAACAAAAGAAACATTAAATGGAAGCGATTATGATTTAGATATAAGAAACGGAGACACCGACAGAGCAATTAATGTTATCATTGGAACAATAGGAAGCACACCAGAAATACAGTTAACGGAAAGTAAAGTGCATTTTTTAGGTAATTTGGAAATAACACATACTGATGTTTCAGGTAGTCAAAGAGTATTAATAAATAATCCAGACACCGACGGATTTATTAGATTAAGTAATAATAACTTATCAAGGTTAGATGCAACAACAAATGGTGTTGATGTTTATGGTGACCTTTCATATACAGGGTCATTAATACCATCATCGGACAAAAGGCTAAAGAAAGATATAAAGGAACTAAATAGCAAAAAAGCAGTTGAATTAGTAAAATACATTAAGCCGAAAACGTATCATTTTGTTGATGGTAGACTACAAGGTAAGTCTTGCTGTGGTTTTATAGCTAATGATTTTATGGAAACTAAGAAGATGCCAGACGAATGGCAGAATTTAGTAAAAGAAGGAACTGACGGCTATTTGAAGTTTGACTACACAATTACTACACCGATACTATGGAGTGCTTTACAAAATGCTTTAAACCGAATAGATAAGTTAGAAAAGATGTGAATAAATTAAAGAAGAACAAAAGCGATAGTGATTGAACAAATATATAATAATGTTTAATATTAACCTCATTAATATTAAAGATTATTAACTGGTAAATTATTAACTTATCAATTTCTAATATATATATATATATATATATATATATGGGTTCTAAAACATCTAAATCTTGTGCTGCAGAAAATATGAATCAAATAAAAGAGTTAGATATTAATGAAAAAACAAGAACAGGTATTTTATTATTTAATACATTAAAAGATGTTATGCAAAGACTAGAGCATCTTGAGGAAACAAAAAGTGATAAAATATATTGTAAACTACCAGCTATAAATTTATGTAGTTATTCATTGGTTTAATAATATTATGAATATCAATATTATTAATCAATAACTATCTTAGCATCAAATCTTTTATAAAACATATCAATGACATCTGATTTCATTAAGTTAATAATTAAGAAACTGTAAGGTTCTTCTGTTGCTATGTTATAGACTTCTAACAATAGCTTCTATGCTTCTGCGAGGTTTTTAGTATCAGCAACGGTGGATTTTTTTAATCAATACCGCGTTTAACTCTTCAACCATTGTTTCAATTTCTTTGTAGTTCCTTAATCTGAAAAAGAATAACTGACGACTATTGACACGAATAATTGGACTTAACGCATTAACTTTTTGTGTAGAAGTAATAATATTGATTGCGTTATGTCTCCCACGAACATAAAACTTATTTAGCAAAGGAGAGTTTCTTGAAAAAGCCTTACTGTCGGCGAAGTCATCAACTATTATTAGAATTGAAAACAATTTCTTGTGGTCGTTCTTCTTTTGATACTCTATTACTTTATGTTGTCTCTTTAGCACCGCTTCTAGTTCTTCCGGTATGTAATCATCAAACATACACTTTTCCTTTTCAAAATTAACCTTCAAATTATACTGAATACATTTTTTGACTGGCAACCAATTACTATCAACTGAAATAGAAGGAGACCAAATATAGATACGCTCAAAGACATCTCTGTAAATGTCCAATATCATTGATTGTAGTAATATTCCTGTACCACTTCCTGAAGGGCCTGTTATTGTTTGACTGAAAGGTAATTTAGGTGCTACTTCATACTTAGACTGTTTAATATCATATTCTTTAACACTGCTGGGTTTAACTATAGGAGTATTCATTATTACTAATACATAGAAAAATTGTATCGTTATTAATTTAAATGAGCGACGTTTCGGCAGAAGCCTCGCGAGGCATTCGCGACGCTTCAGAAGAAAGCAACGATAAAGGATTTCGTATTAATGCCCATGGCATATCTTGTATTCCGTGCCGTTGTAAAAGACAATTTTATCATAAGGAGACTAAAACCGCAAAGGAGAACAATATAATAACCACACATACCGTTGTTGATAAAAGAAATACCAAATTTGGTGGTAGTGGCAGACACACCAGTCCTGACGATATTTTTAAACCAGATACTAATTTGCAGGAAGGAAGCGTTGAAATATGTAGCACAGGATGGGATAAATCACGGATTACTCCGGAAAATTAGAAGAGCGTGTTGAGAAACTTGAGACTGATGTTGACTTATTGAAGAAAGATGTGGAAGATATAAATACATCTAAAATTAAGATGGATTAAAGTTTTATTATAATTATAATGACAGGGCAAGTATGCCAGTTTTGTCATTCGCAACGAAGGAGAAGAAAACCCCTGTAGCGGTCGCGAAGCTTCGCGAGGCTTTGCTAAAGCATCCCTATATGTTTCACATTGGATGTTCTCACGAAAGGGAAGTAATGAGATACATTCAAAAGCATCTCATAAGAAGGTGCTTAATTAGTTTGTTAAATCTTAAGTAATTGGCTTTATATTTTCATTATAAAGCGAATTATATGACTATATATACTCATAAAATTATAGTGACATTCTCTAATAATAATGATTACAGTTGTAGCAGTCTTGAAATAAAAGTTTGTCCGATATGTAAGGTATATAAAGAGATAGAACATTTCAAAAGTTTGCAGAAACACAAAGAATACAATATCGTATGTAGGAGATGCTTAGATAAACAGAACTCAGAACGCAAAGTTTTTAAAAGTTTGAAAAAATAATCTAAAACTTTTATATGAGCGATATAGATGATGATAAGGCCGATAAGACAACAAAAGCAACACGATTTCAACAGATATTAGATAAGTTAGAACTAATTGATAAAAAGCTTGATGCTCTGAGCAATAAACCTAAACAATACAATAAACCAATGGATAAAGATAGAGACGATGCTTTAGCATCCTCAGGGCGAAGCCTTGACATTTATAAGAATAAGAGAAATGTTTATGTTAATAAGTTAAACAATTGTCAAGTAAAAGAACCAAAGCAAGAGACTTTAGACTATTACGGTGTTAAATTTGATGATGTCAAGAGAGAGTCTGTCTAAACTTCTGTGTAATATAAATTAGCCTGTATTTGACAAAAAACATTTAAAGAATTGAGAACATATATATTAATGACAGAAGCCGTGGGATATAAAAGCAAACAAGAATTAATTAAAATTAATGATGACTTAAACTTGGTAAAAAAATGAAGTTGTGGATGCCATAACTGGTGTGCCATATATTGAAAGCAACTGCGCGACTATGATTTATGTAAAGGATGGAAAAATGCTTGTTGAAATTGTTGATACAAGAACAATAGACATTATGAAACAGGAAGAAAAGGAAAAACCGAAAGAGCCAAAGGGAATGGCAAACCTTTATACAATAATGAACGGATAAACATAAATAGCATTCTACTGGTTAACTTTAGTAAAATTCTATGTAATGGACGCGAAGCTTGGAGAGTTGCTACTCTCTATCATTTCCCAGTTCTAGGTTATAGGCTTTACGGAGGGTTTTGGATTAGGGGGGCATTTCCGAGTTCATCGTTAGGATATTGGTTAGGATATGGGTAAGGTAAAGTATTTGGGTGGCGGTTAGGGCTTAGGGGATATGGTGTGAGGTTTGGATTAGCAGGTAGCTTCAGAAATGGTGTGAAAGCGTAGGGGGGGGGGGGGGGTACGGGGGTAATTATAAGCTAAGATGAACTCGGAAATGACCCTTCCTTGCTGTTTTCAGGGTGTCGATTTGAGCGCTTGTGGGGTTTAGACGTTTGTTGGAGCCTCAGATGTAGACGTGCTGAGGGTAAGGGCTGCTTCTACGCACGAATCCTGTGCCAACTGAAGAACCCAAAGCAGCTGTTGACGGCACTTACACGAACTCGTGAAACAATATCACCACCTCCAATTGGAAAATTGTTGTCGAACTCGGGCAAGCATGCCGCAGCTTTCCATGCTCACTCACCGTGGGGAGAGAAAGACAGCTGAGACCCCTTCAAGGTGCCGAAACAATCCCCGCTATTGCTGCTAACAGACGCTAAAACAATTGGCGAAGCATTGCGTGTGGAGGGGCATGCAATTTTCGAGAAAGGAGATAACCCCCAACTAAAAGGATTCTCACCATACAGTATAGATCGGGCAGCGCGCCAGTGCGCGAAAAAAGCTTGTAGGATCACTTTTAGCTTCCGTCCAGCCTGAGTTCAAGCGTTGATAAGGCTACTGTCTTTGCCCTTTGCGAGAGCAGGCTGCAGGGCCCTTGGGCTTCAAGCATTGAGCTACCAGCTTCGCGTCAACTGCGATGGTAGCCTTTTCGTTTCATCCCCGTAATGAGACGACTCGGCTGGAGCCTTGCACGTCACCTTGAAAGGCTGACCTGAGCTGAGCAGGATGCTGGTAGGAGGGCTACACGTTTAAGGTCTACTGTAAGTAGGTTTGAATAGTATGCAGCTACAAAACCTACAGGGACGTACGGTTTGCGGGATGCCCTGGCGAAGATAAATTCGTTTGCAGAAGGGCCCCCAGAAGGGGCCCCAGCTACATGCACTAAGCCACTAGGCATTCCTCAACGACTCGGCCGTCTGTGGAAGGCCTCTGATGGCGGAGTCATGAATCTGTCTAATCTATGGCTGTGGGTTGATGCAACCTACCAGGTGAACCGGAAGCTTCCGAAGCTTCCGACGGGATAAGCCATCTTTGAGGGGAGCAGCTCCTGACTTTCTGACCTTGAACCGACCTGCAGTCCCAGAAACTCCATGACAAGTAGCCTCAATAAGCTTGGGGTTCAGTTTTCGTTTGAGTCTTGCGGCTTCGGTTTCAGCGGTTTTTGGGTCCCTGAAGTCTTCATGTAGGCCTTCGGCAGAAGCTGCTGTAGAGTGATACTTGTAACAAGCATGCCAGTCCAGCTCGAGAGGCTAGGCTTCTTCGCCGAATCAATGTATTTGACCTGGCTGTGGGAGGGATTGGCTCTCCGTGGTCTGGGGCTCTGCGGCTTAGCGATGTGTCGAGTTGGCAACCTTATCAGCTACAATCAGCTAACATGATACAGTCAGGCCGACCCTGCAAGCGACCAAGCCTGTTGGATCTCAAGGCCTTCGTACCAGCCGTGCAGTTTCTGATTCCGAGTCGTCAGACGTGCTCCCCCGGCCTATCCCACTCTCACGCTGCTCACGCTTCACAGACCAGCCTGGCCGGAACCGCCGACCAAGGTGAGGCCATAGAGCGCCTGGGAGGCTCCGCGCCGCAGGCGATTCAATCCAATTGTTTTCATGGGACCTACAATGCAAAGCTCGTGGCTGGAAGGCTTGAACGTGGATTTTGGGGCTTCGAGGCTTTGAAGTTCTGGTGCATCTGAAGGCAGGTCTTTCCCTAAGCATTCGAATCCGACTTCGGAATTGCTTCAGCTATGTGGGTGGTTGTCAAAATAGGGGCCCCTTCTTGGGTACCTTAAATAATAGGTGCCGTAATATAGTAGGGACCCAAAAAGGGACCATAATTTTGACAACCACCCATGTGGTTCCGGGCTTTGGAAGGTGTGGGGGTGGGGAGACCAAGGGTCTGCATGAAAGTGTGCACGGTTGAGAGCACACGGGGGATTCTTCGGGGTAGCCGAGGGCAAGGCTTTCCGAAAAGCCTTTCGAAAAGCCAACCACCAGAATTCTTCGAGTTGCCTTGTGGCGACTCGTTCATGTCCACACCACAGGACAAGCGGTTCACAATAAGCATTGACTGAAGAGGCCCACCGCGTAAGCCACAATGGAGGTGTCGTTTCTGCTTAAGGAAACCAGGGAAAGCTTCGGCTGCGCTAAGGTCCGGGCAAATTCGCAGTCTTCCTGGATCCAGGCGATGTACCAGTCAGTCACTAGTCAATAACGTGTCTACCATCCAGAGCTTGGGTGAGTCTACGAAAGGCAGGATGGAGCTTGCAACCCTTCCCCACAACTGTATCACTTTGTGGACCCCAGATTGAAGACGAAAGTTTGGATTCCCTGGTCCCGTACTCCCAGGATGAACGCTTCGCATCGGCATCCCAATTGCGCGCTTTGCAGGTGAAAGGTGAAAGCATCAAGCGATTCCTTTCTTTTGCAATTACAATGCTTTTGATTGCCGGGTGGAGTTACGGCACATTCTTGCTGTTGATCTCGACATCCGTTGACCACAGTCTCCGGCAAGAAAAGAACCTACTTGCGAACCCCAAAGAGCCCCCCTGCCCAGACTAGCGGCTGAAGCCCCCGAAGCCGTACCCAGCACAGCCGCACAGCCCCATCCCTCAATCGTCGGATTGAACTATGAAAATTCCCCATATCAAGTCCCAAGGTTCTGTGAGGCCGTAGTGGGATGCCGTGCGCGGCTTCGGCCAAAGGTTGACGTTTTCAGTGAGCGTAAACCTCTCCCGTGCAGGGTTCTAAGCTTAAACTGCATTGTTAAAGGGTTTTGTTTAGGGTCATGAGGTTCGCACTCTCGCAACTCGGACTTCCAGTTGAGGTCTTTAGGTCTAAGGTTCAGGGCCTACGGTTGCAGATAATCAAAGGTCTAAGATTTCGATTCCCACGCTCGCCCGAGGCAGCCAAGGCTAACCCATGGCTGGTCCATCAACGATGACAAAATATCTCAAGTACTCAAGGTCCCTGTGCTCTGACGGAAGGAAACAGGAAACCCTAACGAATGCAACAGATGCAAGCAAGATAGCACCAGTGACCTTACCTGTTGCTGCTGTATGTAGATTGAACTTTGAAGGACCCTCTACATTCATAAAACTCAACATCCTGAAACTTGATTGCAACCCCTGGTCATTTTTTCAACCTCGCGTGTTGGAATGTTCCCTGAATGCGGACTCGCGTTGATCCTCCCTTCGCGTGAGTACCACTATCGAGGCTCCCACGGACCCGAAGCACCCAAGACAGGTTTGGTCGCCGTAATTAGGGAGTGGGCCCTATTATTTCCAAATTCACACCGTATTTGATCCTTGCACTCATCCCAAAATGTGACGCTGAATTCCACTGCTACCCCCCTGTGATTGAAGTGTATGCCGAGCGGCGTCGCTGAAACTCTTTGCGCCGAGAGCAACACCCTCACCCCAAGATACAGTAACCAGGATAACGGGACATCTGCCGAGGAGCACGTGATCTTCATACTTGAAGGGAGTGGATGTCAGGATACCACCTCCACTCGAAGTGAATGAGGTCGTGGCACTCCCGGAGAAGAGTTGAGGGATTGAAGTGTTAGGCTGCAGAGATCAAGGAGTATAAACAGTATAGAATAGGCGACCAACTTGCCATTGCCCGGCCCCGCGCCCAGTTGACTGTGCACGACCCCAGATTTAAACGTCGGAACATGTTTGGGATCACTCTGCGCGTGCGGCTGAAGTCGCCGAGACTGCAGCCCAAAACCACAACTCTCAAACCCGAGTTCACGCCAGACATGCCTAATCATTGTACTTTGCCTGCCTCTCTTGCCGTTCTCCGACCCAGAATCTCTGGCCTCCGCACTTGCAGCAAGCCTCGTTGCTGCTCGAGCCCAGGAACCTGGTCTCACTGCAGCTGGACGCTGCCAGCTGCTGGCCTCATGGCGCGAAAACTCTCAGGGCCCGTAGTTCGGGAAAGCATCGAGAGCGGTCGTATGCGGACCCGCAATGCCTGACATGGCCTCTTTCAATCGAATATCCGGCAGTCGAGTGAGTAGGAGATACGGAATGGTCGCTGCGTATTCAGTAGTAGCGACCTTCCAGTCTGCAAGGGGCTCTCGATGGTCATGTGGATTGTATTCAGAGGACTACCAGAATCTCAAGTTTGGGGAGGTTTAGTGTTGAGTGCGTAAGGGCTTAGACCCCAAAGCCCAAAGACCTCTAATTTCTGATTCTGAGTCCTGGCATGCCTCCCATCTCTTGACGGGGCACAGGTCTTGCCATCCTCGCTGATCCATCCAGCGATATCCGAGCAGGCGGAATGCCTTGATAACCCGAGATCCAACAACTGTGCGACACGGGAAATCATGGAAAAATGCAATGGCTTCGGTTCCGGGGTTTTGTGGGGATGAAAACTTCAACATTCAAACAAATGGACAAGATAATTGGCTCAAGGTGTGGGTGTGTAGGCGTCTCCGGTGCCGAAGGATCGAAGGCATGCGCTTGGTTCGACAATTTACTACATTCTTCTTCAGGTATCATGCCTAGGGGCATTTGCCTTTGCCTTGCCGTGTGAAGCTCAGGGCTCGGAACTTTTGATTTCTTTTGGGGAAGCAGGTGAGCACCAATGTAGGGGCCTTGACAGGGTTTTGGGGGTTCCTAGGCGGAAGTCTGCTCGACCAGGCCTACATTCTACATGTGCACAGACAGCTGAATTATTTCTCGAAGGCAGGGAAGCTCAACGCTTCCAACAGCTCACCTTCTTAGCAGCAGGTACCATCTGATTTTCTGAGCTGCTGCTGCCATAACTCGGCTAAACAGTCTGGCAGTCCAAGCCCGAACTCTCACGTTGCGAAGTTCGCAAGGTCTGGCCTGGTCTTTACATCTGAAACCCAGAGTACACTGTGTGCAGTGTGTACAGCGTACTTCTAGCTCTCACCCCGAAGCGAAGACATCTACCAGCCGTTTAAACCCCTAACTTGCAGCACCTACCTGCTCCGGCTACGTCTCCGCAAGAACCATAATTGCAGCACTACACAATGAGCCACGAAGATGCAGATATGGACAGTTGACAATGACACGATCAGTCCAAAACGAGTCGTCTCCGCAACTGACAGCAAGTATGGCTCATGGCTCCTCAATGCGCGGAATGCAGCTGGCGTACCCGGAGTCGCCCGGCCGCTTCACAAAGGCTGCTTGGCGGCCCTTGCAGCCCCCGCCTGGCATGCGAATAAGAGGAACGATGCACCCTGGCATCCCAAAGACGGGTAGCGCCACGAAAGCGGTTGCGCGTCTCCTCCCTTTGTGAGCCCTAAACACGAGAACCCTGCATGCGTACTCGTACCCTTTATAGGCCCGCATCATGCTACAAGGCTATAAGTTATGAGATCGTTTCCGATAGGGGGTGTCATCATGTCATCCAACATCCTCACAAGGAAGCCTAAGCCTCAAAGGATGGAACAGCCTCAAGTGTCAAGTCATCTCAAGTCTTCCAAACTCTCGAGCCGACTCGAGCCCTCCAGTGATTCCTCTTCCAACAACTTTTCACTTCCGTACCCTTTCGGCGCAGTGGGCGCTCATGGTGCTATCTGGCCAAGAGGCTGAAATAGGAGCAGCCGTTGCAGTCCTGTTTGAGGTTGACGGTCAGGGAGGAGTTTGGTTGAGGCGAGGAGGGAGCGCCCTTCGCTGCAGCATGAAGCGCAGGTTCAGAATCCCTGAAGGTCTGTGTTTCCGCTGGAAGAGTCTCTGAGGGCCAATCAAGACAGCCAAGGCCGTGGAGAATAGATCCGGACACGGGGCGATGAGGAATAGGACTAAGGTGGAGTACCTTGCCTGCGTGTCGTGGAGTCGCATCAAGTGTTCAACATCGAAAACACTGAACGACCTCTACCTCACCCTAGACCAGCAAACTACACAAAACCTGAGCAGTCTGAAAAGGATGGTCTTGCACAGTGCATCACCCAGGGTGGACGACTGCTACACTTTGGTTTCCGAGCTCCACACCCAACCGACAAGCCACAGGTCTAATGCCACGCCACATAACTCCGCCAACCCTAGGTCCTTCTAGCTAACAGGCTCTGCACGCTACACCCTCAAGAAACATGTCGGTCCGCTCGCGAGACCGGACAGCAGCTCACTCGGGGTCCCTTATCCCAGCGGGCTTGGATCACCGCCTCAGCTGGCGACTGGGAAGAACCAAATCCCCTCTTGATCCAAACATATTTACTATATCATGGCAAACATGGAAGCTCAAAGTGAATTTCGACTAGCCTTTGCTCTTGAAGAAGCCTGTGAGCTGTACATCAAAGAGCCAAAACCTCTGCTTCATAGCCTCGCTGCCAGGTCATTGGCCCCACACCTGTCAGACTCAGCATCCACACTTGGACTTGCCCTAGGTTTTTGGATTTGAGCCGGGGTTTTAAGGCTTGTTTTTTGCGAGAGTTTAGGATTCCTGCACGGCGCGAAGGTCTGCGGAGGGTATTGTTAAAACCGGAGGTCGATGCAGAGGGCCAACATGGCTGGAAGTAGGTGCAGCAGCTCGTGGGCAGAGACTCATGGGGCCTATGGAATCAAACTTTGAGATGCAGCGGCCCTATGATTGGGACGCCGGCCTTTTTTCTGAGGAGTTGGTCTCGAAGTCGTCACTCAATTTGGACTCCTTCGGGCTCGCAGGCTACTGTAGCAAGCGGCTGGCTTGCTACATGAGACCAAGGGGAAGCGATTAAGGATCCATCACTTCAGTAACTTGTTCACTTGGATAACTACTGATTACCTTCTAGTCAAGCTAGTCCATGAAAGGAGGCGTTGATTTTGTCATGACACCTCAAACTTCCCGGGCTCAAGGGCAAGCCCAAGGTCCGAAGCTCAAGGGAAGCAGCAGGCCCCCACTCAAATCCTGAGAGACTCAGAGGAGTCTACAAGCAGGGCGCCTGAAAAACGGCGTCGGCAGACCCTTCGCTGAGAAGAACCTGCAGTCGTTCTTTTGGGAGGCTTCCGCCTAGACCGAGCAGAGTTGACTTGACTCTGCAACGCGCAAGGCAGCAACGCAGCACAAAGGGCCAAGGAGGGCCAGGGCCAGGGCTGATATACTATATATACACTATATATATATATATATATGTAATACATATATATATATATATGTACGTAGGACCTTTATGTATTATTTGACGGGTCTGTTTCCCTTCCAATAATTTCTTACGCCTTTTAAATAATTAAACGGCCCTTTCAAATTTTAAATGGCCCTTTAAAATTTTAAACGGCCCTTTAAAATTTTAAACGGCCCTTTAAAATGTTAAAAGGCTCCTTAGACTCTTTCAAATTCCTAAAACTCCTTATAATTTTGAAAGAAACGAAATTATATTGGGGCCAGGCACGGCCCATTTAAAATTTTTAGAAATCCCTAAAATCCTTAAAATTTTGAAAGCCCTGTGTCTGGCCTTCAAAAATTTAAGGAATGTGAGGGTGCTTTTAAAATTTTCAAAGGCCCTTTAAAAATTTAAAAGGCCCTTTAAAAATTTAAAAGACCCTTTAAAATCTTTAAGGCCTCGTTAAATTCTTTCAATAATTTTGAAAGCCAGACACATGGCTTTCAAAATTTTAAGGATTTTAAGGATGTTTAAGAATTTAAATGGGCCGTGCCTGGCCCCAGAACAATTTAATTTAAGGAATTTGAAGGCCTCTTCAAATTTTAAAGGGCCGTCTAAAATTTTAAAGGGCCTTTTAGAATTTTAAAGGGCCCTTTCAAATTTTAAACGGCCCTTTAAAATTTTAAACGGCCCTTTAAAATTTTAGACGGCCCTTTAAAATTTTAAAAGGCCCCCTAGAATATTTCAAATTCTTGAAAATCCTTAAAATTTTGAAAGAGACTAATTTATTTTGGGGCGAGGCGCGGCCCATTTAAATTTTTAAAAATCCTTAAAATCCTTAAAATTTTGAAAGCCCTGCGTCTGGCTTTCAAAATTTTAAAGAATTTCAGGGTGCTTTTAAAATTTTAAAAGGCCCTTTAAAAATTTAAAAGGCCCTTTTAAAATTTAAAAGGCCCTTTAAAATTTGAAAGGCCTCGTTAAATTCTTTCAATAATTTTGAAAGCCAGACACAGGGCTTTCACAATCTTAAGGATTTTAAAGATTTTTAAAAATTTAAATGGGCCGTGCCTGGCCCCAGAACAATTCAATTTTTCAAATTTTAAAGGGCCGTCTAAAATTTTAAAGGGCCCTTTAGAATTTTAAAGGGCCCTTTCAAATTTTAAACGGCCCTTTAAAATTTTAAACGGCCCTTTAAAATTTTAGACGGCCCTTTAAAATTTTAAAAGGCCCCCTAGAATATTTCAAATTCTTGAAAATGCCTAAAATTTTTTGAAAGAGACTAAATTATTTTGGGGCGAGGCGCGGCCCATTTAAACTTTTAAAAATCCTTAAAATCCTTAAAAGTTTGAAAGCCCTGTGTCTGGCTTTCAAAATTTTAAAGAATTTCACGGTGCTTTTAAAATTTGAAAAGGCCCTATAAGAATTTAAAAAGGCCCTTTAAAATTTTGAAGGCCTCGTTAAATTCTTTCAAAAAATTTGAAAGCCAGACACAGGGCTTTCACAATTTTAAGGATTTTAAAGATTTTTAAGAATTTAAATGGGCCGTGCCTGGCCCCAGAACAATTTATTTTCAGGAATTTGAAGGCCTCTTCAAATTTTAAAGGGCCGTCTAAAATTTTAAAGGGCCTTTTAGAATTTTAAAGGGCCCTTTCAAATTTTAAACGGCTCTTTAAAATTTTAAACGGCCCTTTAAAATTTTAAACGGCCCTTTAAAATTGTAAAAGGCTCCTTAGACTCTATCAAATTCCTAAAACTCCTTATAATTTTGAAAGAAACTAAATTATATTGGGGCGAGGCGCGGCCCATTTAAATTTTTAGAAATCCCTAAAATCCTTAAAATTTTAGGGATTGTGTCTGGCCTTCAAAAATTTAAGGAATGTAGGGGTGCTTTTAAAATTTTCAAAGGCCCTTTAAAAATTCAAAAGGCCCTTTAAAAATTTAAAAGGCTCTTTCAAATTTTAAAGGCCTCCTTCAATTCTCTCACATTTTGAAAGCCAGACACAGGGCTTTCAAAATTTTAAAGATTTTAAGGATTTTTAAAATTTTAAATGGGCCGTGCCTGACCCCGGAACAATTTAATTTTAAGGAATTTGAAGGCCTCTTCAAATTTTAAAGGGCCTTCTAAAAATGTAAAGGGCCCTTTCAAATAGATTTCGAAGAGTAGGATCGGGAGAAAACCACAAGAGACTTTGAATAGGAATATGGGAATACTCTCTTCTCCATAGGAGAATAGGCGTAGGGCCATGGGCAGGAGAGAATGGGCGATGCATGTTTGGGAGTAGGGAGTAGGATGGATTCGACCCTGGGGGTGGGAAAACAAAGCAATCAAAGGAAAATGATTTTCAATGAGTTGTATTGATTTTCAAGAGAGTAAGAGTAAGAGTAGGAGAATTGAAGTGGCAGAGTAGGAAGGTAAGTGTAAGAATAGGTGGATACGTGATACGTGAGTAGGAGTACGGGAAAAGCACTAGAAGATTTGCATAGCAGGACAGTAGGAATAGCAATAGCAGATTCTTGCACAGGCTCTTGCATTCTTGCTCTTCTACTCCTACCTTTCCGTTTCCGTTCTCCCACTGTCATTCTGCTACTCCTTCTCTTGTATTCGCTTTCTCCTGTTACGACTCTCCTCCTCCTATTCAACTTCTACTCCTGCCTTCCTCCTCTCCTACTCCTAATGTATGACTCCTCCTCTCCTACTCTAACTGTTACTATCTCTCCGTCTCTTATTTGCATATACATTCCCATCCCCCGACTCCTACCGTCCCATGCCGCTACTCAAGCTCCTGTTTCCTCCACCCCCTTATCCTCCTACTTTTAATGTTCCACTCCCATTCTCTTGGTCTTACTCCAACTCCTTCATGTCCAATCTAGACTACTTACTTGTTCTATTCTTTAACTCCTACTCGCTCAATTTAGTGTCCTACTCCTTACCCGCCCTGCACCTCCTCTTACGCCGACTTCTACCGCTATTCCTGTTCTTACCCTGACTCTCCCCTACACACATCTTGAGCCTTCCTAGTTTTCCCAATTCCCACCACCATATCTACTGTCTTATTGTTATTCCAGCTCTCTTATGTCTACTTCTAGACTACCTGTCCTACTCTTCTACTTCTACTCTCTCTAAATTTGTTTCCCGCTCCTTACCACCCCCCATCCCGCACTACACCTCCGCTTAGCGCTACTTCTAAGGTTCTACCATGTTCTACCGCTACTTTTGTTCTGATCTTGTTCCTACAGGTACGGTATTCCTAGGCTTGTCCCAATCTCTACATCTGTTGTTATTCCTACTGCCCTACCTCGATGCCTACTCCGTGAAGGGGAGGAAAAGAAGAGTAGGAGTAGGAGAACAAATGGGAAAAGAGTAGGTAGGAATAGAAGAGTAATCCAATGGAAAGAGGAGACTAGGGGCAGGGAGAATACGAATCACATCACAGCGAAGGAATAGAAGAGTAGGAGCGGGAGAAAACGAGTAAGAAACCAGGAGTAAGAGAGTAGAAGTAAGAGAGTGGGAGAGGAGAGTGTGTTGTTAGAGGAGCAGGAGTAGGAGAGTAGGCAGAAAGCAAGAGAACAGGACAGCAGAAGAGTAGCACAGGAGGAGAACAGGAGAATGGGGGGTGGAGAATAGGAAAGAAGGGAATTGAAAAACCTCCGGGGGATTGGAAACTGTCAAAGGGCAGCAGAAGCATGAGCATGGAAGTAGGAGAGTAGGACTGTGAACATGGGAATAGGAAGGTACGAATAGGAGACTAAGAGTGGCCGAGAGCAGGAGTGGGAAAGCAGGAATAGGAGAGCAGCGGTATGATAATAAGAAGAACAGGAAGGTAAAGTAGATGAAAAGGAACAAGAGGGTAGGAGTAGGAGAGTAAGAGAACAAAAAGCAGGAAGGTAGGAGTGACATGATGGGATTGAACAAAGTATGAGATGGACTCCGATTCCCATCATATTCCCACCCCATTACCTGTACTTCCCTATTCCTATTCCTCTATTCCTGCCGATTAGTAGAATGAATTCCACACCAGGGGTACGACAAAAGTAGTGTAAGAGAAATGATCTTTCAACCAGTGGTAAGTAGACGGTTTCAAAAGAGTTTTTTAAATAGTCGGAGAATAATTAGGCAGGGCAGGAAGGTAACTGCAAGAATCGGAGAATAGGGTTAGGTGAGTAGGAGTACAAGATAAAGAGATTAGAAGAGTAGCATAACAGGATAGTAAGATGTCATATCTTGCTCCTACTCTCTTATTCGTATTCTTCTGGTACGTCTCTTCTACTCCTTTTCTCCTAAATTCTACTCCTGCCTTCCTACTCTCTTACTCCTAATATGTGGCTCCTCCTCTCCTAGTCTAACTCTTCGTCTCTTGTTCGCATATTCCTGTCCTCCGACTCCTAATGTCAAACTCACTGTGCACATTCTCACTCCCATTTTCTCCGCCCCCTATCCTCCTATTTCAAACACGTTCTACTCTCATTCTCTTTGTCATATTCCCACTCCCTCATATCCATTCCTACTCTCTCAATTTAGTTTCCGATTCCTTGCCCTCCATGCACCTTCTCTTAGGGCTATTTCTAACCGCTATTCCTGGTACTCTCTCCTACACGCATGTTAGTTATTCCTAGTTTTGCGCGATTCCCACCACTGTATTTCCTACTGCCCTACCTCGATGCCTACTCCTTGGAGGGAAAAGAAGAGTAGCAGGAAGACAGCAGCAGTAAGAGAATACGAATGGAATGGTCGCAATGGGAGAGCAGGGGGAGTAGACGCAAGGCGAGTAATCGAATTGAGGAAGGAGACTAGGGGTCGGGAGAATACGAATCAAAGCAAAGGCACAGAAGAGTCGCAGCAGGAGAGTACGAGCAAGAAGCCACGAGTACGAGAGTAGTCGGAGAGTGGCAGTAGTGGGAGAGTGGAAGAGCAGGAGTAGGGGCGTAAGAGGGTGAGGAGTGGAGGATAGGAAATAAAGAATGAAAGATCACTGAAACAGGAAAGGAGGAGCATGAGAATGGGAGTAAGTGAGTAGGACTAGGCAAATGGGAATAGGAAGGCGCGAATTGGAGAGTGAGAGTGGTAGAAAGCAGGAGTAGGGTAGTAGGAATAGGAGAACTTGCAGGTGACTTTGGGCTGCACAATCTTAAACCCGACGAGGAGCCCGAGCAGCTACGACACCTCAACCCTGAGCCCTAGCTGAATAATTTAGACTCAGTACTATACAAAGAGAGACCCGTCAAATAGTACATAAAGGTCCTTGCCACATATATATATATATATATATATATATGACTACGATAGCAACCCCTCAAAGCCGGGGAGGAGCAGAGGATTTCTCCATGACTCTGAGAGGAACGCGCGCCTTTGCCGCCCGTGGAGCTCGCGGTGCTTTGCACCCTTCAAACCTGAGTTGCAGCTAGCAGCTAGCCAGGGAGAGCAATTAATTCTGTGCTGAAAGTAAGGGAGGGCGTGATGGTTTATAGTTTTTCGCTCAACTGACAGCTACCCGCATGCCACATGGCACACGAATTGTCATATTTGGGCCGCGGCTCAGGGCTGAAGCTTGAATTGCAGCAACAGCCATCAGGCTCATTTTGAGCTAGTCGCCTCAAGCCCCTTCTTCCTGTTACCACCACCAACTGGCGAAGTCATGACGAGCCATGAGAAAAACATTGCAATGCCACGGCACATCTGAGAAGGATGGTCAGAAGCGTTCTGCACCTTTCGACGAACACATTGATGCTGTGCTTTGAACGCAGCATATTTCAAGAACATATCATATACGGTACGATTTCACCTGAAGCTGTTGGCCCCTTTTGCGGTTCAATGCGAATCATGAGTGCCGCACGAGAACACCCTTGTTCCGCAAGCTGCTTCTTCCGAGCAGCATGGTTGTCTAGGGAGCCAACGTCCATGGGCAATGTGACGGCCATGATTCTGCCAGCCTTCACAAGACATTGGTGCTCCGTGCCATGTACAACACTCACAAACATGTCTTGAGACAATGTTTGTTTATGTGCAGCGGGAGGCTTCTTGAATGTGAGACTGCGGATGGACGCACCTTTTGGCCGTCAGCCTATGGGCCTATGTAATGTTGCTAATGATCTGTACTAAAACTGTGCCTTTCCATGGGTTGTCAGTCAAGCGCAAGACACACTTTCAATATGGTGCACATCATCCAATGACCCCTTCGCTCCAGAATGTGCCCGGGTCATGAACGCAGGCCCCAATTCCGCTAGTAAAAGTGGCTGCTCATAACTGGTTCCGGAGATGTCTGAAGTCTGAAGTCACGAAGGAGACCGCGAAGTAAAGGTTCCACACAAACCTGGCATTCGTAAAGGACTGTTACAAACATGACCGTCACAGGTTTGCCATCTGGCCGGCACGTGTCCAAACGGGGCTTCGAACTGTCGCGCGTAGTCCTTATCAGACCTTACCTGCCCCCAACTTTCCTCGGCTGTCCTCGCCCTCCACAGGAGACCAGCAAGTCGCCCAGCTGCCCTTGCTAACCCGTACTTCCTCCTCACTGCATCAAGGCAGCTCCTCAGAACTCGAAACTGCGTTGCAGTCTTGTTACTTCGAGAGACCCCGGACCAGTGTCTTTTGAAGGAGCTTCGCCTCTTCTGGCGCTGCGCTTGGCCCCTTGCCTGGGCATTGAATGGCAAGGGCACATGGTGACAGCGGCGTCAGGAGCAGAATCATCAGCACCACCAGGTACACTCGTATGGCTGGTGCAAGGCTGAGATCAGGCACAGCCTAGCAAAACCAGGGTTATCCTGCTCAAGACTGATAGCAAACCGTAGTTGCGCACCTAACTGGCTACCTTGACATCCAGATCCAAAGGGCACGGCACTGCCTTTTTCCATGCATCAACTCAGGGGTCTTCATCACTTTAACGAGTAGATGACTGCTGCGATCTTCAACCTTACTAAAGCATCTGCCACTGTACGCGGCTGGGCGGGAATTCCTGTGCAACGCTCTAAGACTGGATGTGCTCGTTACCTTTTGCGAATCACGAAGACGGTAAGCAGTAAAAACCGGATACGAGAGACTATAGTGACTCGCGTGGCAGCAATGAAAGAGCTCCTCGAGTCAATGACAGGCCATGGTAGCCCCAAATCCCAATGTCCTGTGGGGCCATTGGCTTGCTGAGCCACCTTCACGCTGCGCCAGGAGCTGACGAACCTGTCGGCAGGTCAAGAAGTGAGGGGTTCGGGACATGGTAGTCTTCGCCGCTTCGTCTCTCAGCTTCGCACGAAGAGCCCGCGGTTGGGGACTAGTTAAAAAGATGATTATGCCTCACGTTTTCGGAGTGCAAGGCTTCCCGGGTGGGCCGACTCGCAGCCGCTGCCGCCGCTGCCGCATCACGTTTCTGCGTTGAATATACACAGACTGAGCCAGATCCACCAAAAGAGCCCACCGCTCTTCACGCATTCCCCGGGCAGCAGCCTCGGTCTCCAGGGACTTGAATTCTACCTCCATGTTCCTGAGCTTGCCAGGGCGGGAAATGACATCTCAATGAGCTTGGAATGCTTGTAAAGCAGTTCCAGTGTGCGGGTAGTAGTAGTAGGAGTAGTAGTAGTAGTAGTAGTAGTAGTAGTAGTAGTAGTAGTAGTAGTAGCGTATCAGAAGCAATGGAGCAACGAGTTCATGTCCTTAAACCGATGTTACACACGAGACCTTATCCTGAAACTTCTTTGAACGAGGTCTCTCTGAAGCAAAACCTTTTGCTGCAGGCTTGCTTGCAAGGATGCCTGGTAGCAAAACCTAAACCCTGATCCCCAAATCCCAAACCCTGACTCTGACCTTAGCTGAAACAGTTAGCCCGACATCCTGCACCCACAGGGCGCCAAGTCCTAAACCGCACCTGACGGCCTAGGCTCTCCAGCTTCGCCATCTGGGACGACTCCTTGCAATAGACTGCATCTGTAGATGTCTCTATATTATATATATATATATATGTATATGTATAACACATGTATACATGCAAAACTATAGTACTGAGGCGTGTCTCTACCTGATTGGAAGATGGCAGGACCCCGGCATGACTAGTGAACGGATTACCGTGTAGGTGTGGGTGGATTTCGACTCGCACTCTCGCACGAAGCAGGCAGGCACGGAATTCCATGCGGAAGGTCGCCATTGACATGAGAATATATATATATATATATATGTATTTGAAAATTCTAAAAAATAGCAATATGTTAATTTTTGTTGAAAGCCCGACGGGCGCCGAAGGGAGGCCTGGCTTTAGGGTCTTGGGGTTGGACCTTGCCTGTGACGAAAGCTCTAACCAGGGCATGAGAAACGCAAACGTCAGCCTGCATGAAAGCTTCTCGCACACTTGCGGAAAGCTCGTTACAGGCTCTAAGGCCCTGCAAAAAGGGCCATCGCCCATGGACTATCCGTGCCATTCACTGCCTCAGGCCCGGTGGAGTCCCTAGAAGTAGTCTGCTCGTTACCTCGCGCATTTCAGCAAAGACCAGTTCTGGTCGGGGCTGAAGGTTCCTCGATCTTCTCCTGTGTTGGGTTCATGGCTCCGCGTTCTTCCGATTTTGGGCCAGGATAGCCCTTCGCGCCTGGCCCAGGTCTTTCTGCAAAGCTCCCTGCTCCTGATCGGAGGGCCGTCTCTTGGAATGACATGCAGCAGGCGCAACAGATGTCTACTCAATCGGCCTGATGTGAGATGACTTTCCGACCGGCCGCGAACGCGGCAAGCGCTAGAATGCGCCAGATCTTGGTGCCACAGCGGGGACAAGCTCCGCTTTGGACGAGGTTTGGGCTGAGGTTTCCAACAGCACAGGAGAGCATCTGGCAAGCAAAACGGAATTCGGCTCGGAAACCCTTTAGTTAAGCTAAAATACTCAGTGACTTAGTGGGTGCATTGGGGGTGCATGGATCCAGAAACACATAAAACACTGCCAAATTGGATCCGATCCGTTGGTTGAGGGCTGCCTGAGTATAATATGCCATATTTGCGATATTTTTGTTCTTTCTCTGGCAAACCAGCTTGAACAGTGTACAGGTGCGGCAACTATTTGTGGGCTTGTTGGAGCTTTCTCGCAGAAACCTTTGATTGAGACAATGGCCAAATCACCGTAAGAAGTCCGGCTATGGCGGGAGCAAGGACTTCTTGCTTCCCGCTTGGCTAGGACGAAACGGCAAAGGCTTTAGGAGTGAGGGCTCGTCAGTCGCGGTCGCGCGACTCAAATCTCAACATGGGCCTATGCAGGCTTGGACACAAGTCTTTCAACGGAAATAAACATGTGTATCACTGATGTCTTAAGTCCAACAGGTGTAGAAATATACTACGGGTCGCAGCAAAATTGAGAGGAGCAAGTGAGAAATGCAGTGTACACGCGAAAGGCAAGCGACACAACGCTGCATCCAAAAAAAGGGCCGCCCCGCTTTCACATGCTGTATGGTAGCATTTTTTGCCCGCTCAGCGTAAGCCCGGCGGGTTTCGGGTGAAGAATACTTGCCGTAGTAATACATGTTCTTAATAGTTCATGACAATAATTGCAAAATTGCAAAACTACTGGTACTCGTAAGAATAGGATGAGATCGGAGAGCTCCAGGATCTCGCGCGGTCACCGTGCTCAAACTGGGCCTGCACGAAGCTACGCTGCAAGACAGTACCGGAATCCACAAGACACCCGGGCCCGGGCCCCACCGCGGCCCCACCCCTGATGGCTGCTGTCCAAGATGCATGCTTCATTGTGTAGCTGGATAATCGGCCTGGGCTTTTATTGAAAGTCAAACCCGCGAGACTACTAGGTTACGTGGCCAACTATTCAGGAACAACATCTATGTGCTATAATTGTGCTATCACCCTGGGGTTCATTGCATTCACCAGAAACTCATGACGGTTCAGGATCAGCGAGCCTGACTGCAAAACCATCAGACTCATCAGCAGCCGTGCACACTGGGCAAACAAGTGTTTGAAGCACCCCCTCACGTCCCTTCCCTCTCCTTTCAGCAGCCTAGTCTGGAAGATCGTCCATGCAGCAGAGGCACCAGCAAAATGTGGAGAAAAAGCCTCGTGCGCTGAAGTCTTGGGTGACAGGCTTGCGGGTCAAGAAGTTTGGGAGGAATATCTCAGAACTTCCGAAATCAGGATGACCGAAACACTTGGAGGAATCAAAGGGGTACCAGACGGGCGGAAGCAAACGACTATTGAAGCCGGTTGAAGGACCTCGAAACACGAAAGCCCTACCACCCTTCGAGGCCCAAGAAAGGCAAGCAAAACAGCAAAGACATGTGCGCGCCACGCTGCCACAAAGCCCGTTGAGCCCTCATGAATTAAGCCGCCGTTGCTTAAAGTTGACCTCTTCAAAAACTTAGGCATTGCGAGAACCAGCCCAACGATGCGCACGGCTTTCTATTTCATGGGACATCCAGCCAAGCTAGAGCTTGAACGTGAACTGGCCGCTGAATCTCCGCGGGCTGGAGTACACGCAGTCGCTGGGATCCCTTGCAAAGCAAACCCTACCGAAGGCAGTGCACCATAGAACCCATCATTGCTCCACCTCCAAGCCTAAAGACTCCGGTCCTCAATTCGATTGGCCTGTGTCAGGACAGCCGCGAATCTGCAAAGCTCAGCTGCTGCAAAGCACAGCGGAGCTTCTTGAGCAAAAAAGCGGCTTCTGGCGGGAAAGTCTCTGGAAGTTTGCGACAGAGTTCGGCCAGGAGAGGAAGGAGACTGGTGCAACGACACTCCCAGAACTTAGGCTTGGTGCTCTGGAGTGCGAAGAGTGAAGTTGCGGGCTGTGTTGGTGGGGGGGAAGTGGAACAGCTTTTTTGCTGAGTCACTGCGGGAACATGCTGCGCGCCTCTAGGTAGTCGACGAGGGATCTAGCCGCATGGGATTTGCTGCTACGGGTTTTGCAAGATGTACGACATGGTGGTGTTGGTTGCATGGATGTAAGGCAGGGGTTTCGACAGGGACGCTGCACGAAGCAGGGAGCAGATTCCAGCAGAGAGTCCACGACAGACTGCAGAGAGACATGATTTGCCGGGGAAATTCCTTGGAGTAGCTGAAAAGGACGGAAGGAGACCGGTGAAGTGAAAGCTGTACAAGCATGTAAGACGACCTCAGCCAAAGAACCAAGAAACCAAGTCTGCTTTCAAAGTTATGAGCGGCCCAGGGTCACTGATCACAGAGAGGCCAACTCGGACAATACAGGCGAGGCATATGGTTCGAGGTCTGATGAGTGAAACCAACCTATTTAGGGTTTGGGGCCTTCGAGGGGTTGGGGTTAGAGTATCCTGGGCAGAATTGGCCTTTTTCGTTGGCATGATCAGCAGCTAGACTTTCTCCGACCGCCAGCAATCCGCGGAAGACTAGGAACCACGAAGGAATATGTAATTTCCTTTGCTTTCGTCATGGCATGGCGCATGGAAGTGGCCCCGTCAGCGTGCGATAGAAACAGCCAGCCCTGCTCCGGCTAGATTCGCAAGGCACTTATGTCAAAACTGTATGCGCATGACTTCCGCGCAGTCGTCGAAGACACCGGCAACATCCGGACCAAGGCTGGCTGAAAGCTGGCGGCCTTCGCTGATCTACACCGGTGAAATGAGTTTATAAAGTTGCAGGAACTAGAGCTTCTCTCTTCGACCGTGTCGGAACTTTAATGCAAGGTCTGCAACAGGTTGATGAACAAAGAACGAGCACATGCAAAACTATGCCAAGGTTCGTAAAACAGAGGAGTATATACACAACGCCATGCGCTTCTCCGCATCAACCTCTTCGTATTCAAACTAGGGAGATACAGAGATGTAATGGGAATAGCCAAGAACATGTGTGCATATCTACACACACAGAAACGACTAGCTGCAGGTGCTTTGCCGTCGTACCATAACTTCGAGCCGCCCTTTCGCTTTAGGGCTCTCTAATGCCTCAAGTAGTGGTCCAGAGAGGGGTGCCCCTTCCTCAGCAACCTTATGTGCTGATGCTGGCTTCGCCGCGGACGTTGCAAGCTCAATTTCTGGAGCCCCTCGAAACGGCAGCAAGGGAGAGTTTCAACGGAGGACAATATTCAATATTCCCCGGCGCTGTCTACCGTTCTTGCAGAAGCATACATCTCAATGCAGGCCGTCCAGGATCACGTCGCCATCAGGTGGTAGTTTCTAGCACCGATCCCAGTGCAACGACTTGAAGCATGACTAGTCACCCCGGTACTGCTACCATCAGCACCACCATCAGATCTCTGCCACTTGCGAAGCTCCATGTCTATCACACGGTTAAGGCACCACCTGCCCTGACATGCTCTCATCATGACCATGCTCTTCACTTCTGCAGTTTGCTTGAATTGACACTCCGTGTTAGTGCTGTAGCGCTGCTTGGACGAAATACACCCACATTGCTGTGTTAGCGCTGTAGCGCTGCTTGGACGAAATACACCCACATTGCTGTCGTTGTTGTTGAGTCTTGATTTCCCCCACGCTCTTTCTCATCAAGTCGAAAGACTATTCTCCAAAGAATATACATTATATATATATATGTAATAATATGTTATCTATATATTATATATTATATTATATATATATTCATATATATATATATATATATGCATTGTATATAATCATATACATATATACATATATTATTATACATTATATGTATATGCAGAGCTGCGCAGATGTTCAGCTGCCTTCATCTTCCGAGGTGCAGAGCTGTGGCCCACTCTGAATTAGAGAGGCTACCGACTACTCGCGGGTTTTCTAAGCCTTTAGAGCTCAAGACTCATGGATCCCTACGAACCACCACGTTCCCACCTCAACCGTACGTCTGCCGGCGTAGTATGGACTTGCCAAAGACCCCACCACTCTTTGACTGAAGCTCAGCTCCAAATCATGACTCGAACCGCGACTGCACGGGGAGAACAGCCCGCGTCAGCAAAGCCAGTCCCAATCGCCCACCAGGTGAGGGCTGCGGGCCTTGTGGCTGAGGTCTGCTGTGCTTTCCGGATGAGTGGAGTTTCAAGCACAGTATCGAAACTCTATAAAGCAACTCAGAAGCATGTAAAGCCACAGGATCAACTCTACCCAAATCTGAGCGTTCAGACCACCTGGAAGGTTGTGTTCCTATTTTCCTTGCTCCCCTCAGACTCTGCTCTCGCACCACATCGACGACATACTTAGAGTCTACTTTGAGAAGCCAAGCCCTGAAGAAACTAATGCAGAGACAGGAAAATCAGCGAGAGCAAGGCAAGAGAAACGTATGCCGATTGGCAGCTGTCATACGATATTCACCAAGTCTTGTGGTATGTGCTAATAGAAATGGGACAACTTCTACACTAGGCGCTGCTGCTTGGCCCGCTCCATGGTTCTGAGGGCATCTGTCACCAACCAACAAGCGACTATCTGGAAAGCAAAACCTCTGCAAAGCATCTGCGCGAACCAAATTCCTAGCCTTCGGGGACAAGGACTCAGATCCAATCAATCCGGGTGTCAATTCGGACAAGGACGGGCGGGAATGGAGGCCACCAACATCCAAAACACCCCGAGATCTCAGAATTGCTTCGACAAGAGGTCCCCTGACCAGGCTCTTAGCCACTCGCAGTGATGGCTTTTTATCAGCAAGTCGTTCAAGCTTTGAGCCGAGTTCTTCAGAGAAATCGGAGAAGGGAAAATCGAATCCAGCGGGAGCTGAGGTGACAGGCAGGCTGCATTTGAAGGGCTTGCGGCACAGACATCGTTTTGCAGTGACTGATGGTGTGAACATAACCATTGCCATGACACTACTCACGCGCTTGTTCTTACCTTCTTGGCTTCTGTTGGTAAGGACTGACAGCTTGGAGGGCTTCCGCAGCTTCCAAGCGGGAGCCTTCCATTAATGCATGTGGATGTTCCACGACTGCCATGCCTGCTCGCCTTGAACCACCGGGCATTTTCTCGGCAAAGCAAAACACCAAACCTATGTTCAAAGTGGAAGCTGCAGGACACGCATGGGGTCCCGAAATGAAGGCTGCAGGGCCTACGCGGGGAGCTAAGAAAATAAACTATTCGCAGCCTAGCGTGCGAGCAGGAGAGAAGTTTTAAAACTTCAGCTTGAAGATAAGACGCCGAAAGGTCCGGAGCAAAGCTCTTGGGGATTGTTCTGGAATTGACCATCCCGGCGTTCCCAAGCAAAGCTGCATTTCTACGGAGCCACGATAACGCAAAATGCCCCGGTGAGGTGAGCCTTCCAGGTGATGCGGAGTTTTGGATGTGCTAGTGGCTGCTCCGCTTGGCAGAGCTGGTGGCAGAACTCGTCGCAAGAACATAACTCACGACTCCAGCTGTGACGATGAGCAGCGACCTCGGGGTGCATTGGCTTCTGATCCGACAGAGGGAGAGAGACAGAGAGAGAGTAACAGAGAGAGCGGGGATGGCTTCGAGTCCCGGGCAAGCCCTTCGCTGGAGAGAAGCACTGCGATGCATCTTGCCTCTGCGTGGAAGTCTCTCGGGGATGGACTGGACTCTGGACACTGCATTCGGATTCGGGTCTGTAGGGTTCGAAGAACCGGCTTGTTCAAAGCCGCACTTGGCTTTCGTCTCCCTTCTGCCCCATCGAACTATCAGGTTGCCCTAGCTCGGATTTGCGCAGAATAGACGGGGCCTTGGTTAACCACATCCATTGCAAAAGCTCGCGTTGCGCCTCTGAGGGCTTGAAACTGCCAACGTCCTGGCCATTAAAGCCCCAACTCCATGGTCCATCCCACATGAAAGCGCAAGCCTCAAACTGCCAAACTCTTGGCCCAAGCCTGCAGTACAGGAGGTGGGAGAGCGCGAAAACAGCGACGCCCTGTAAAGCCTTGGCCACGCCCGTGGACACGGCTCCGACCTGAGATCTGTTCAGGCACCCCTTCCATTGCGATGGATTCGGGTCCCTCGAGCTGCCCCACAGACATGGCAAATGCGCACGTGCGAATATTTCCCTGCGAGTTTTAAAGAGTTTGGCAGAGTTTGAAGGCGCGCTTGACAAAGCAGAGGAAGTGAGGCAAGGCCCCCCTAGCCATGGCCCTAGCCATGCGGCTGAAACCACACCCGGCCCGTCAGAAGTCTGGGGGGCCTTCTGCTTCCCCTTCGGAAGATGCTGATTGCACGATCCCCTCTTCTCGAGCAAAACCAGCTCCGACTCCGGGTCTCCAGGGCTCCAAACTCGAACAGCTCTGTAGCAGCCCTGTCGTCTGGGGTGTGCTCTCACATCTCGCCGCTTGCATCCCAGGCCCTATGTACTGGTACCGCTATCAACAGATCCGACGAGGATCCTGAAACTATGGACAGAAAAGCCACTCGTGTGAGAAGGTAGAAGAAGGTTCCAGCCTCAGTTACTGTCTGAGACGCTGCAAGCGATTTTTGTGCCTTTTGAGTCCACAGCCCTGCCGATATCAAACCGGGTATACGGCTCAGGTTACGGTCGGGTACAGTGGTAGAGAATTCTTTGCAGATGAGCCTTCGAGCTGAAGCCCAATCGGCTGGGTCTGCCCTTCAGAAACCCCAAAGCCGAAGTAGAAGCGAAGGAACATGAACGAAGTTCCCCAGTGCCACGGCAGCAAGAAGCAGCGAGGCTTCTAGCCAGGAGGTGCCAACCTTGGCACTGACTTACTAGTTGCTCGAAGAAGCACCGTCTTTTGCACAACTACTACTCACTAGTTCTAGCGACGAACACACCCGCAAGGCTGCAGAATTCCTCACGGGCATCCTGTGAGAGCACCGTCGCCCAATAAGTCGCCAAGTTGCTTCAGCCATCGGTTCCGTTATTCGTGACCAGTGGGAAGTGGTAAACGTGAGCTGCCAAGCTCCTGTTCGAGAGTTGCACGGAGCCTTCCCCTTGTGCACTTGCTCCGGCCATGCAAGAAGAATCAAGAATCTGCAGAACGTCAACTTGTGGTGCAACGCCATTGCGTGCTACAATGTCTTCCTCAAGACTCCCAGCTACCCTAAACCCCAAGCCTCGAAGACTCCAAGCCCCGCAAAAAGGCCCGGCCGGATTGCGTCCTACAACGGCGCAGCCGGTGAGACCCTGGATCGAGGCGTTCAAATGCGCCGGGATCCTGCTGGGACGCGGGACTAGAGCCCTAATGTTTGGAGTTTTGAGAATGACAGCTATGAGTGATTGCTGGGGATTTGGTCGCTGTCATATGTGTGGTAAGATTGCTTTAACGCTCCTCGCTCTACGGACAAGGAAGAAACAACACGAGTAGTAGCCGCTTGTGCGAAGGATTGCAAACCACCGCAAAGCATGTGACACAAAGGAAGCTACACTTTGCACATTCTACTCCGCTAGCAGTAGGGCTGACATGACCGTCACATGCTAGTGCGTGCTAGCCTGCCTTAGTATACATTGGTTGAGGGTGTTTTGGCTGCTCGAGTGTCAGAGAGGCGTAATCTCCACGTGCAAGACATGTCGAGACCGGGCTGCCAAGAAAATGCCGGCACAGCTTGCCTTCACTTCTTTTGTCTCACAGGCTGCTGGAGACCTCCATCATTTCCACGTCCCGAGAGGCTTTGAAGCCGTCTGCTCCCAAGGTTTCCGCTCAAAAAGTCGGGTCCTGGCTCCTCGTACCGAGACCATCTCCGACAGGACGTGGCAAGTCGCATGGAGAACCGTGCCTGTCATGGAAGCCTCTACTCACTCGACTCACGTCTTGGGTCTACCTCTGTCTCTCTGACAATGTATTCAAGCTTGACAGGCGTCGCGCGCCGTTCTGGAGACATTCATGTGCAGAAGTTCAAGCAGTTTTGTGACCCGTGGTCTCTGGGTGCTGGCGAGCAGATGAACACCAAGGAACGAGCAGATACCTATGGGGTCTCTTTGGCTTGCAGGGCATCCGACTGTTGGAAGCCGAAAAGCTGTGACTCTAAGCCAAGCTCCCAGACCAACGCCATCAATCAGCAGAAACACACCGAGTAAGTAGGTCTGCAACCCTACGGTCCACGCCCGCCTGCTCCAATCATGCAGGTGCCAAGAAAAATACTTTCGCCGGTGCTCCTCCGAGTGGGATGGAAGAAATTATGAAGCCTAAACAAAGCCTAGCCCCAGATGCCCCAGGAGGCTCCTGGCATCTACCCCAGTGACGGCCAAGCCCGAGAAGACGGCAAAGATGCTCAGCCACTGGCACTCTGTTAGCACTCGCCTTTGCGAGCAGAGCACTGGGCTGAGAGGGCTTTTTCGGGCGTCGGACGATAGCCAGGGACCGCCTACGCCCGACAAAAGCTACAGCTGCTGGTCGCAACCCCCCCAAATCCTCAGAAGCCAATTTCTCTCTCTCTGGGCTCAAAAACGTCTCGACAAAGGGGCTCCAGCAGCAGACGAGAGAGGACGGCGGACCAGATGGTGACCGAGGCGTAGATGACCGCGAAGATCGAGCTGCCAGCCTCGGCCCGGCCGCCCGGCCCTCTGCGATCTCTGCGACTTTCAGCTTGTCTCGGGGGAGGTGTGCGGCTGCGGAGGGTCATCTGAGACAGAAAAAAAGGGGGGTGCCATGTATTCGGCATATATATATATATATATATATCTCCCATGACTCATACTTTCTTGACCTTCAAGCACGAAGTCCCCGCAATCAGCTGACAGAAAGGATGCCGCACAGCCCACACCCGCATGCTTCGCCAAGATTCCAGCATGTTGCCTGTCCAGTTCCTAGGATGCACGAGCCACTACCAGTAGCTGACTAGCTGCCACTTGCTGGCTCCACACCTCTCTGCCAAGCTCACCCTGCGCAAAAGAGCTCTTGGAAACACTCATTTAGCCCAATTTTTCGATTCCTTCTGGAGGCCTCAGGAACTGAAGAGCCGGGCGTCAGGCTCTGCGCGCAGATGCCAAAAAGCGCCTCCGAAGGGGCTCTGAAGGTGTCCAGTGACAGGACCCACTGCGATTGGCTACGGACTCTAGCTGGATTTAGATTCTCGAAAAAATACTTAAACCCCAAAGCAAACAGCTGAGATGACTGTCAAAAGGAGCCTGCGACAGCTGTGTGCCTGCCCCGCTTTCCAACGACCTGGTTACCTTCCTCCCTGCGAGCCCAGCCTCGTTCTTTGGACCATCTCTCCAACGGACTCTTCCTCTTCGTCCCCAATGGTGGCGATTACAATTCACATCATGTTATACAAACTAGTGGTTGTCGTTGAATGCAAGAGGAATCTGAGGCGAGCCGCGACACCAGCGCAGGTTGCAAGTTGCGGCAAGCTGAAACTCGCAGTCGCTGCCTAGCAGTGGCAGGCAGTGAATGGCAAACAGGGAGCTTCATGCAAGACAAGCAAGTAGCCGCTCCTGAGTAGCCATGTGTAACCAACACCACCAGTGCAAACAAGTCATACCATCATCAATGCAGACAGGCTTGGAATTGGACTGACGTGCTACCCGCAAGCTGGCCTTGGATTTGCTGAAGATATGGAGTAAGCCGGTGCATGCCATGCCGGCATAATAAGGCACCTGGGTCTTCACACCGATGCGGAACGACCGGTCACAGCTTCTCTTGAGCGACTTCGGCTGGAGTAGGCTGTTGCAATGACTCACCCAGTCGGGTCAATGCAGTGTGCTTCGGTTGCCACTCCGCTCCGATACTTGCTCCTTGGCATCTACACTTACGTACACCCGTGTCTAAGAAAAACATCTGTTTCTTGAATATCTGGAAGCCTTCGAGTGCAAAGGCGCGCGCGCGCGCACGCGGGAGCCGAGCGTGACGCCAGGCCACGTACGGCGAACACCCCACGCTCACACACTCTGCTTTCTATACTGACCAGTCTCGGCTCGCTCTCGCTGGATGTGTTGAACGAGGTATACTGTGTTGGAATATGGAAGCTTGCTGTGTGCGGCCCTGCGAACACCTTGGACTCCCATGTGCCAGGCCAGGCAGCAAGGCAGCACGTCGAGGCGTCGATCTTCCCAAAAAACGATAAGAACAGAAAACGCGCGGAAGCGCCTCTATAATCTAGAAGCGTCATCAAGTCGAAGTAAAGACCTGGGGACCATAGATTATAAATCGGCAAAAATCCAAGTATAAAGCCAGCAGGTCCCTTTATGTAAGAACGCTTCGAAATTCAGTGCGCGACATCAAATGCTGGGAAGGAACTCATCGAATATGCGAAAATAAATCCGGAAGCCTTGGCCTAGCCGTGGCGCCATATAAAGTTGGCAGCGTGGGTCCCCCAGGCCCGCCCGTCTCAGCTCGGACATCAAGAGCCTCGCGACGCGAAGTAAGAGAGCACAGTCTTCCGATGGCTTTGAGAGCTTATGGATGTGCGTTGCCTCCAGGACGGGTGGTGTGATGTTTCGTGCTGTTCCACCAAGGTGGATACCTTCTGCATTCACATGGATTGCGGGTGACACTAGCAACTCCCCGGAGTACGAAATTTTCTGCAAGTGCATGACAGTGTGCGAAATTGCACGTGCCTGCAGTGCATGAAACAGAGGCTGCAAAGCCCGAACCGTAGAGCGCAAGACTGCAGTAATTCAAGGGTGCATTTTCAGGGTCGCAAACCGTCTGATATGCGGTTACGCAGTAGTAGACTTCGAAGAGACTCCACAAAGACTGCACTGCCAAAAGATTGAGTCTCCATCTGCTGCGAAATGCTGCTTCTGCGTTTATTTGACGATTCGCCGCTATTCGCCACAACGCGGTGTCACTATGCGGTCACAGCTCACTACGGTCACCACGCGTCGATGAAGCATCGAGCTTTAGCTCACATGCGCTTCCCTTTTCACTTCTCGGCGCGATGGCATCTTCATCCAAAGATGCTACTGCTTACCCAACAACACGAACCGAGGAGGAGACCAGCCAGAGCGAGAATGAGGACAACACGACAGGTTCATCAGAAGCGGATAGTGAGAAGTCGCCGAGCAAGGCAACAAATGACTCACAGGATGACAATGATGAGCCACCACCAGATGCAGGCTCAAGCTCACGCACACCATCAACCCTTCCATCTACAATGGCTCTTCTTCCAAAAGGCGGTGTCGTAATCGTCAAGGACGGCGAGTTGGAAGCATTGATGGACAACGCTACGACAGTTGTTACAGATTGACAATACTCTTAATAAATAATATTATTAATCATCAAAAATAAAACTTTTGTCTTCATCATATATAACATTGTAATATCTCATTGTTTCGTCCTTCGGTTGCTTAAAGCCTTTATTATTATGTTTGCTTGTATAGGCACTCCTGCGACTATTATCATTAGCATCTGTGGTATTAGGTCTATTATCACTAGTTTTCATGTTTTCCTCATTGCCTTCTAACTTCACAACCCTTTTAACAAGACTGCTAACTAGCTCCTTTAGTTCCGCAACTTCTTCTTTCGACTTTTTAATTGGGCTGTTTATTTCTGACGAGGATTCACTCATATATACAAACCTAAATTAACAGGTTTGAAAGCTTTAAACGTTTAACGCGTTTTCAGTATCTGTTGAACCTTCCTCCTCTCGCCTTCCTTCCTTAAGCCTTCCCTGCAGCATTTGCAAGTTATTGATGTGGTCTGGCTACTAGCATTCACGAAGGTATTACTCGGATATTCCTTTTTAAATGCGGTCCTGCTTAATCTCTGTTACCTCTCCAAACATAACAATCATTATATAAATAGGTGACAAAATAGATCATAACATAACGAAACGCTATGAAATACTTCTGCTCGCTTAAGATTTTACATGGCTCTAAAACTAGTTCTTACCGTATGCTTATGACACGATAAATAAGATCAGAGTGTCAGATACTTCCCTTTCTGAGTCCTCTCATCGTGAAAGCACGTGGGCGCATGGGGGTGCATTCGGCATTTTTTTATATGTTTATACCTGGGATGCGAGGAGCGAGCCTCGCATCGCTATACGACTTATGGCAATCAACAGTCTGTACCCTATCAAGATACTCTAAAATGGTTCTCTTAAACATTAATCTTGTAATTCTAAACTCGTTTTCTTAACATAATGAATATCCTCATCTAGTTTCTTAACATCTTCCTTTGTCTCCTTTATGTGATCTTCTGTTTTGTATATCTTCTTCTCGATTCTACTCTCGAGTTCCTTGATATCATCCGCGTTCTTTTCAATCCTTTCATCGCATTCTTCTGGCATTGGTTTTCATTCTACCTGCTCCCCAACCTGTGTCACAAATAGCAACGCTTCCTTCTTGGTCTGGTTTAAATATACTGTTGTCGGGAGTCACTCCTTTCCCCAACTTACAACTGCTCCCATCTTCAACTATTATTATCGTTTGCTTGTTATCTTCATTGGGAGGGAAACTGGTGCTCTCAGCTGGCCGAAGCTGTGGAACGAATCCAGCAGGTTCACAACAATCCCTTGGGATCAGACTTGATTTCATCAATAGATTCCACTCTCAGACGGACCCGGGGAGAAGTGTTTCGACGACTCAATGCCATCGAAGCAGCGGCTGAGAAACTCCAGATGCGACCTTGGCAACTCGGCACCAGGTGGGCGAGTTTCGATGTCGGTCTGGGTTTCACACTTCCCGATATCATTAGGTCCGGAAGCTCCATGTTTGTGTCGAGCGCGCATTTCTAGAAAAGCCAAGGGATGCCGAGTCGAGTCTTCTCGAAGTGATCCTAAAACCTCCGCGCTGCCGAACGCCTGACTCACTAGACCCAGGGCAAGGCACATAGGCCCCCAAAGCCACGCCGAGCGCGGCACGCCCAGCCGGGGCAGCTCGGGGCAGAAGTGGGGCAGCCAGCGCCATGCCGCGTGGGTTCGGGGAGTTGGGGCTAAAGGTCGCCATCAAGGCATAGCACTTCGGGCTTACCCGCTTCGAGAAGTTCGCACCCTTCCGAATGGAAAGCTCTAAGACCCCATTCAGCCTCCCACATCTCTGGATCGTTTGTCTCAGAAAGGTTTCTGACGGATGCTACATGCAACGTGTTGACGAGCTCGGGTCCAAGCTAGTGACAGCCATGCGGCGCCTTTGGTAGCGAGGCACGGGCACCGAACTATCGCCGGGTCCACCAAGGAGCCTTTAGTTGCCCTGCACACTGTGGCGAATGGGGACAGTGACGGACAGTGACGGACAGACGCTCTCTTTTGCTGATCGCATCTGCTCGTGGATGTCTGGAGGCTCTGGGCCGAGGCATGGAGGTGTATACGGACCTCACTGGGAGTGCCTGGAGTGGAGTGCGTGGGCTGCGTGGGGGGGGCGGTGTAGGCGAGGCCCTTACACATCCTTGCAACTAACCATGCCGCCGCGGGAACCTGCAGTTGGGCAACAGCGAAAACCCAAAAGTGTGGCGTTTGCCGAGTTCTGGTGCAGAGTCACGAAACTACATGTGCCATGCATAGTGCATGCAGAAAAAGATGGTCACGCAAGTGGTCATGCGGACCGGAACGAAGATTGCTACTTGTACCACGGGTCTGCCAAGCTGCCAAGGCTTGACAGAGGCCGGTACCAATACCCTTGGAGATTCGCAGAACTTCAACTGCGCCCTCCGGGCCCACAATATGTACACGACGGCATGGTGTCGAAAATGGCTCCCTACATTAACACGCTCAGCCCTGTCCCTGTGCGCAGCTAACACCACATCATCATGTAGCTAACGTTCGCACAGTGCATGGCTCCGTTTATAGTAATGTTGTTCTGCACTGCTACTGCTGCTAGTTTTACTGCCACTGCTGGCGTAGCAACAACGTTTGACATCACCATCGTCAGCCGTAGCAGCAGCAACAACAACAAGAAGCAGTAGAGGGGTAATTCAGGCTTGCGTGCGTTTTCAGCATGACACTCCGTCATGTGCACAGGGCAAGCTCGAGACCATCCTTGCCAGCGTCTTTCACGCGAACCTCGACTTTCTGACCTGAGGCAATCCAAAGTACCCCTTTCGGGTGTCAGCAGAAGGGAACCGTCGCTAGAAACGGCTTCGAAAAGTCATGGGTTACCATAATACTCAAAGGTATACTGCAACTCTGACTCTGCGATGACTACACGCGACTGTCAGGGCGCCGCTTGCAAATTTCTACGGCTAGAAATTCAGTTCGAAACTATGACACACTACAACTACGTATACTATACTCTAGTAGAGTTTATGATCCACTTGGTGTATGTACTAGACAAGTACTAGACGACTTGTCTCTGACTCTCTCTTTCCACTGTTCTTCAGCTGCCTTCCTCCAGCATCTCCACGGCTGAAGCGCTCCCGAGCTCGTCCTCCACCAAGGCCAGGAACTCCTCAAAGCGGGTCCGTGGCTCCCCCGGTAGGGGCCGGGCCGGGCGGTTTTGGGCGGGATGTTGAGATGACTTGAAGGCCATTCTTTGAGGCTTCTAGGGCTTTCGGGGAAAGGCTCTCATTACGCTCTAACAACTCGGACTCTGCCAGGCGAGGTTCTTGGGTGCTTAGGTCGGCGTGATACTTCGAAGGCCGGATTCTCACTTTAGGCCGTTTAGGATTTTTGTGGCGTGCATACATCAAGGATCCTACGTGTACCAGTTGAGGTTCCGATTTTAGGCTTGTTTCATTGGCAAGGATGAACTCACATGGCAGGTCTCTCTCTCTCTCTCTCTCGCTCTCTCTCTCTCTCTCTCTCTCTCTCTCTCTCTCTCTCTCTCTCTCTCTCTCTCTCTCTCTCTCTCTCTCTCTCTCTCTCTCTCTCTCTCTCTCTCTCTCTCTGTACTTGATTTACTTGCACAGAACCAGATGTCACTACATGCTCATGCTCAGCTGCTCAAAAGCAGGCCTTCGGCATTTCCTTCACTTTCTCTTGCATGGAGAGGAAGAGGCGCTCGTCCGTAACATCCCAGATTCGCACCTGGCAAGTTTTTCCCCAATAAAAACGATGCAGCCATCGGTTGGCCGGTCGGCTGGGCCTCCAGAGACGATCTGAAGCTCACGTTCTTGTTGATACTCACAGCTCGAGGCCACCAAAAGCGTCGGTGGCTGAATCCATACCCCAGTGAGTTGAAACCATAGGCAATGTTGATAGCAGTAAGCACACCACAACGCTAAAATAAGTTTTATCATGAGGACGACGGTGTCGACGAGCAACAGCAGCAACAACAACACCAACACAAACCAATGCAACAGCCAGGACGCCAGCACCACCAGCACCAGCACCAGCACCAGCACCAGCAGCAGCACCAGCAGCAGCACCAGCAGCAGCACCAGCAGCAGCACCAGCAGCAGCACCAGAAGCAGCAGAAGCAGCAGCAGCAGCGGCAGCACCAGCGGCAGCACCAGCAGCAGCAGCAGCAGCAGCAGCAGCAGCAGCAGCAGCAGCAGCAGCACCAGCACCAGCACCAGCACCAGCACCAGCAGCAGCGCTGCCACGAACAACACGAACAACAAGCAACAACACCTCCAAACTTTGAGAGTCTTATTTGTCAGGTCATATTGTTCTACACTTGATCCGGGCTACCCTCCGCTTTCTGCGAGTTTGTGTTGTCTTTTGTGCTGTTCTGTCGTTGTTGGATGGGTCTTTCAGCGCACTGGATGCTGGTTTTTGGCGTCTGCTCGCAATGGTTCGTTTATTGAAGCTATGCACGTGTTGGGCGAGATCTGTTCTGACGCTGCTGAATCGTCTCTAAGGTTTCCTCATCCTTCCGAATCTTCCCCACGGTGTGAACTGGCAAGAACACGAAGAGTTCCCAAATTCATTGTGCTCTTGCCAAGTAATTCTCTTATTCGTACTCTTCCTATCATTCTGAACCCTAGCAGTTTGTCTTATATTCCTCTGAACCAATGCAGGGCTTTCACGTGATGCAGCCTGGATCTTCCCATCCACGACCAGCTGCTTCGTTGGATCTATCTGCGCCTGGTGGATTACATAGCTGTCGTGAGCGGCATCTCTTTGCTGTGATGTATCGTATTGCGTCGTGGATGGTACCATACTTCAAGACATGCTGGATTGTGGTCCCCCTGCTGCGACACGCATCCAACCAGACTGGGAGTGTGTGTGTGGGTGTGTGTGATTGTCGATGGGTTCTCAGTGGTTCTCAGTGCACGATCGGAACACTAAAGATCACGGGGTGTAGGCAAGGAGAGCGCGCCTACCAAGGTCTATTCTTGCTTGGACCTTCTTCCACAAGTCTCTTCCGGCAACAGCCGAATTAAAGCTCGTAATCTTCTCTTTGCGAAGATCCCACGCAGCGCGGCCTTCGGCAAAATGCCAACCAACGTTCCGGCAGCTGGGTGTCGAACCTGCAGCAACTGGATGCCAAGCCAACCGAGATGCGTATCCTGACAAACTTTTAAACTCCTCCCATCTGCCAAAACCCACCCCCAGGCCTCCCTGCAAACTTATCATGGATCTTGGGCGGTGCAGCCGCGCCTCAACAGAGGCTCCGTAGGCTCCGCCGGTCCCAAAGCTCTTGACCCGACCTTCCAGCCAATGGTCCGTGAGGTCTCGGTACCTCGAGACACGAAAGCCTCCACATTTCTGCGGTTTCCAGTCTTGAAGCTTAAGTTTCGCCTTGAGCCCAGTTTAGATCCATGAAGATGCCTTTCCTGCTCAGCACTCCGAAACACCTTGGAGCCTGTTGCTGAGCCTGAGTGTGATCGGCGTGACAATGGCATGCTGTTCAACAGTCGAAACTATCGCGGTGGAATATGGATTCTGGCAGGCCTACAGTAATTGACCGTGACAGCCTTCGAATCCTTAGAAGATTGAAAATCCGAGGCGCTGACCTTCCCGAGACGTTTCGAAAGATCGCATGACGGAAACGGTCTCAACGAAAGACAAGCACAACTTGGGTACCTAGGCCACCTGCTCCCGGTGGGATGGACGGTAGAAGTTATCATGATTGGAGCGTTGCTGGAATCCAAGGGCGCCATCACTCCGCACAATAAGCACGCCAAAAGACATCCATAATTTCGAGACTCACTACACATGAGTTGAGTTGAGGCAGTTTAATGGGGGTTGGGGCGGGGGGTGCTTCCTGTCCAACACGAGCTAGTGGTAAGTTCGCGCAGATGAAGGAAAAAGCCCAAGACTTGCATAGGTGGTTTGCAACCGATGGGAGGCCTGCCACCAACTCCACCACAGAAAGCTCCTGAAAGTTCCCTGCGGGCGGAGCCCTGACCCGTCGTCCGAAGTGAAAACCCTTTTGCCAAGGATCAGCGCCAACTTCGCCTCGGTTCCCCTCAGCGGCCTGCCGTTGGAGTCAGATTCTGTGAGGGCATGGCTTCAGCTTGCTTGGCGAGCACTTCCTGGAACTTCCCACTATCCGTCGATGTTCGTTCCTTTTTCAGGGCGACAACATCATAACAAAGCGAGACACAAACAGCGAAAGCTGTAAACCCACCTACAGTCCACTGGCTTCACTTTCTTCCGAAACCACTTGACCCAGTGAGCTGCTCAAACATGAATGAATACCAAATCTTGACCTGCTCCAGAAAGCTCAGGCCCCCTGAAACCCCGAAAGCCTGAACGTCTGAAGCTGTCCCCCTTAATCGCTGCTTTAGGCGCGGCGAGGTCCGCATTGACAGGTGGAGGTGGCCCTTCTCCAAGTCCACACCCAGAACTCGAACCTGCGCGAGCCGGGCAGGAAACGATGGCAAATACCTCCGAGCCTCTACTAAGTAGTCTACTTAAGGCCACCGCCAGGGCCCTGCTTGGGGGCATATGCACAGATTGCACGCATGCGAATGCCGGCCTTCACAGACGAGCCGATCTCAGCATCACCCTTGCATTCCTGGTCCCAGGGACGTGTGGGGTTGAAAACTTCAGCGCATCAGAGTTGACGGCCTTCAGCCCTGACTTTACAGGCTTTGGAATCAACAAGTACCCAATTTGGCAGGGTGCCCTGCCACCCTTAATATAGGGTTTGGAAGGCCCAAGCCATGCCAGGGCTGCTAGGGCCAGGGCTGAAGTACATGCCTTGGCGAACACCTTTGTGGCCTTTTGAAACCAAGTCTCTGCAACCTCTTACGCTGTAAATTGTAAATCCTTCGAAAGTTAAAAAGCTCATCCATCCTTTCTTGGATCTGCCGCTCAGGCACTGGAAGGTAGACCAGGCCGTGGCGGCTCAGTTTCTCCACAGTTGCCAGTGGGGAGGGAACACTCACGAACCATCCGGCCTGACCAACACTTAGGGCGCTGGATGCATCTAGGAATCGAGGGCCTCTAGGGCCTAGTCTCGGGTTTAGGCTTCGGCCTTGCATAAGGCTGCCCTTGCCCACAAGAACCGAGAAGCGCTGCACCGATCATAGACCTGCAGCCTGCAGCCTCCAGGGCACCTTCCCTAAACTCTAAACCCCATTCAAAGTCTCACGATTTGTCTCCAAGTACCAGCCTGCAGCTTGTGGGTGAGCGTGCCTGTGTACCATTCCTGGTCATCGAGGTTTTGGAAATCTTCCAAGTTGGCTACCGGCCCAGAATTCCAAAGGCTGTAGATCTTGTTCTTGTCCATCGCCAGGATCAGTGTCGGACGATCCCTTTTGCTGCTCTTGTGGCGGACCTCGCTGACCCAAACTTGCACCCGATCGCCGACGTTCACGCGTTCCTTAGCTGCCCCGATTTCTTCCAACAGCATGTGCCAATGGCCTGGCAAGCAATGCAGCAATTGAGCTCAGCAGTGGCACCTCGTCCGCATCATTGTGTGCGCTTATCTTCCCGGCCGGCAGCACGCCTCTGATCTTGAGGCCGACATCAATGAGCACCACAGGCTGCACCCGAATCACCACACCTCATCCACAAGATGTCATGTCAAACAGCCTCGCACATTTCCTCTGTACCAATGATCCCCAAACGGAAAGTCGTTTCTACGACCTGAACCTGGCGCCCTGAGTCACCCATACGTGGAGTCAGTGGCTTTGGCTCTTGTGCTCAAGCATCAGTTTCTGTTGCCCTGAATACGCTTCTCCGGACATCTGAGGCTCTGGCCTGTCAGCTCCTGACCTCACAGCTTCAGCACTAGTTGGTGCGCGGGTACCTATAAAAAAGTGTCAGCCGTCTTCCCATGTGTGCACCATCCAACTGCTATGTTTTCACTGGGATCGCCTAGGGCTCCACGAGGCCGGACCTGCGCTGAACTCCCCCAAGCGGCCAGATCGTGAAAATCCCAACTCTCTTTGCCGAACTGAACTCTGCCAGGATGCCAACGTGTAGGTCCTCCAACGAGCGAGGAGGAACAGCTGCCTGGCCAGCCAAGATCTGGGTGTGTCTAGGACTGACTCGCCGGGCATCTGTGGGCAAAGGCTTTAGCCAGAGCCCCCATGAAACGATAAACTTCAGAGGAAAAGTCTGGGATGGCGCGCTTAACTTCGAGATTCGAGAATGACACCGGAGCCCTCGCTCTCCGACAACCCAAACATCGAGGGCTTAGCAGGGGGCCCTTTCTGGAGCCTGGAACCGCAGACTTCACGGCTCCCAGTCTCAGCGCTTAAACAGCCACCAACTTCTGGTGCAGAGCCCTTACAGTCTCTTTAACAGTTCCTATGGAACGGTGTCCGGTGTCCTTCTCCTGAGATGGGACGAGGCCCACGATGTTGCTGCCATCAGGGTGGGAAACCTTCACTCCGCGGCGGCTTGCGGAACAGAACAGATTCTTCTCTAAGGATTCTCTTTTGGGGGCTTTGGGGGCTTTAAGAAGGCTTTATGCCAGGGTCTCTCTCTCGGCTTCGTGTTTGGGCCGGGCTCGGGCTCCAAAAGGCGAATAGGATTAAAGGGGGCTACCGTCGACGTCAGGGTTTGATATTTCGGCTCTAACAGCTTCGCCAGCCCCCCCCCCCCCCCCCGTGGCCGGCTTAAACAGGATATAGTCGCCAGCTGAAACTGTGGGTTTTCATTGCATACTATAGACGTAGGTATATCGCGATTGTACTGGACCGACGTCTCTCTATACATACTCAATACAAGTATAGAATCTTTCGTCTCGCCTCATCGACATTGGTGGGGCTCCTTGGACTGTAGACAGACGGATCAAGAAAGGGTGGAGATTCCCCCCAACCCTCAACGAAAACACGGAGAAAGTCCCTCCAAATCATTCAGCTGATTCCTAGCAGCGAGCTCCTCTACCTCCCTGTAAGTCTCCATCTCCTCTGACGATAAATGAAGGGAGCTCGCTGCTTCGTCATCCGCAAGTCCGCAAGAAATGAGCTTCTTATCCCCAAAAGGGTAAGGAAGAGGTCCCTTGGCACATCCTCTACCGCAGCATCTCAAAGGAGCAGAGAACCCTTCCAACTTACGGGAAAAAAGAACTCCGGCTGCCTCTCAGTCGACAAGAAGAGAGAGGAGCTCCTTGTCGTCCCCTCTTCCTCCTCAAGGGATAGAAGAGAGATAGCTTTCAAGAAGTGAGGACTGAGCTGTCCGGGTTTCGTGTGCGATGCTGAAATGTCGTGGCTGAGCCCGCGCTAAGGCCAACGCGGCCGCCGATCGTTCTGATCGATATGCGGCTTCCAGGCCAGCGCTTCGAGCGAGAAGTCGCCGGCAGACTCTTCGGCGGCTTGGTCTCAATCTTCACAAGAAGAGTCTGATCCTCCCCCTAGCCTTCAATAAGACATGAGCAGCCCTCTACCCCATCCTCTGAACTAGCTTCCAAAAAAATCCTCTGCCTCATCCTCGACAAGAAGAGACTAAGAGCAATCTAAAGGGGCAGAAGAAAGCGCCATCTCAACAAAGCAAACAGGCCGCTCCAACTTCACGAGAAAGAAGAGGGCTCCGTTTACCCCTCGGCAAGAAGAGACCTCCTTTCTTTCTTGAAAAGGGGAGGACGCTCAAGAAGAAAGGGTGGAGCTCCCCCAATTTTCAAGTAGAGACATCTGGTCATCCCTCAGCATTTAAAAGGAAAAGACCTCATGCTCCAAAACACAAGAAGGGAGTCCCAAGGTGATTTGTGGCAACAGAAGAGAGCATCCTTCTTACCTCTTGGTATGTCGCCTTTTCGTCTTAAGAAGATTGAGGAGACCTCGCTCCTAGCAAGAAAGGATAGAGCTCCCCTAGCTTCCAAAAAAAAGATTTTCTACCTCATCCTCCACAAGAAATCACTGAGAGCTTCCTCCCACCATCTCCTCTGACGATAAATGAAGGGAGCTCGCTGCTTCGTCATCCGCAAGAAATGAGCTTCTTTTCCCCAAAAGGGTAAGGAAGAGATCCCTTGGCACATCCTCTACCGCAGCATTTCAAATGAGCAGAGAACCCTTCCAACTTCACGGGAAAAAAGAACTCCGGCTGCCTCTCAGTCGACAAGAAGAGAGAGGAGCTCCTTGTCGTCCCCTCTTCCTCCTCAAGGGATAGAAGAGAGATAGCTTTCAAGAAGTGAGGACTGAGCTGTCTCAATCTTCAAAAGAAGAGTCTGATCCTCCCCTTAGCCTTCAATAAGACATGAGCAGCCCTCTACCCCATCCTCTGAATTAGCTTCCAAAAAAATCCTCTGCCTCGAGGATTCGACAAGAAGAGACTAAGAGCAATCTAAAGGGGCAGAAGAAAGCGCCATCTCAACAAAGCAAACAGGCCGCTCCAACTTCACGAGAAAGAAGAGGGCTCCGTTTACCCCTCGGCAAGAAGAGACCTCCTTTCTTTCTTGAAAAGGGGAGGACGCTCAAGAAGAAAGGGTGGAGCTCCCCCAATTTTCAAGTAGAGACATCTGGTCATCCCTCAGCATTTAAAAGGAAAAGACATCATGCTCCAAAACAAGAAGGGAGTCCCCAGGTGATTTGTGGTAGCAGAAGAGAGCATCCTTCTTACCTCTTGGTATGTCGCCTTTTTGTCTTAAGAAGATTGAGGAGACCTCGCTCCTAGCAAGAAAGGACAGAGCTCCCCTAGCTTCCCAAAAGAAAGATTTTCCACCTCATCCTCCACAAGAAATCACTGAGAGCTTCCTCCCACCATCTCCTCTGACGATAAATGAAGGGAGCTCGCTGCTTCGTCATCCGCAAGAAATGAGCTTCTTTTCCCCAAAAAGGTAAGGAAGAGATCCCTTGGCACATCCTCTACCGCAGCATCTCAAATGAGCAGAGAACCCTTCCAACTTCACGGGAAAAAAAGAACTCCGGCTGCCTCTCAGTCGACAAGAAGAGAGAGGAGCTCCTTGTCGTCCCCTCTTCCTCCTCAAGGGATAGAAGAGAGATAGCTTTCAAGAAGTGAGGACTGAGCTGTCTCAATCTTCAAAAGAAGAGTCTGATCCTCCCCTTAGCCTTCAATAAGACATGAGCAGCCCTCTACCCCATCCTCTGAATTAGCTTCCAAAAAAATCCTCTGCCTCATCCTCGACAAGAAGAGACTAAGAGCAATCTAAGGCGGCAGAAGAAAGCGCCATCTCAACATAGCAAACAGGCCGCTCCAACTTCACAAAAAAGAAGAGGGCCCCGTTTACCCCTCGGCAAGAAGAGACCTCCATTCTTTCTTGAAAAGGGGAGGACGCTCAAGAAGAAAGGGTGGAGCTCCCCCAATTTTCAAGTAGAGACATCTGGTCATCCCTCAGCATTTAAACGGAAAAAGCCTCATGCTCCAAAACAAGAAGGCAGTCCCCAGGTGATTTGTGGCAGCAGAAGAGAGCATCCTTCTTACCTCTTGGTATGTCGCCTTTTCGTCTTAAGAAGACTGAAGAGACCTCGCTCCTAGCAAGAAAGGACAGAGCTCCCCTAGCTTCCAAAAAGAAAGATTTTCTACCTCATCCTCCACAAGAAATCACTGAGAGCTTCCTCCCATGTAATGAGACGCAAGAGAGCTTCATCTCAGCCCAGCAGACAGGCCCCTCCAACTTCACGAGAATTCAAGGTCTCCGTTTACCCATCGGTCGGAAAGAAGATAACTCCTTTCTCTCTTCATAAGGGGTTGGATCTTGAGCATTTCTTTTACCTTTTCAAAAGATGGAGAACAGCATACGCACAAGAAGAAGAAACCTCCTTTCTCTCTTGGCAGTGGAAAGAGATCCTGATTACTTCCCTTACCTTTTCAAAAGATGGAAAAGGGCATACGCTCAAGAAGAAAGGGCGGAGATGCCCCCACCCCTCAACGAAAACACGGAGAGAGTCCCTCCAAGTCATTCAGCTGATTTCTAGCAGCGAGCTCCTCTCTCTCTTGGTAGGTCTCCATCTCCTCTGAAGAGAATTGAAGGGAGCTCGCTTCTAGTCGAAGAAGACAAGGCTCAACGCATCTCCAGTTTCAATAAGAACTGCGGCTGCCTCTTCGTCGACAAGAAGAGAGAGGAGCTCCTTGTCGTCCCCTCTTCCTCTTCAAGGGATAGAAGAGAGATAGCTTTCAAGAAGTGAGGACAGAGCTCGCTCAATCTTCAAAAGAAAAGTCTGATCCTCCCCTCACCCTTCAACAAGACATGAGCAGCCCTCTACCCCATGCTCTGAATTAGCTTCCAAAAAGACAAATCCTCTGCCTCATCCTCGACAAGAAGAGACTGAGAGCGTCCTCCAAACTAATGGTACAAAAGAAAGCGCCATCTCAACAAAGCAAACAGGCCGCTCTAATTTCATGAGAAAGAAGAGGGCACCGTTTACCCTTCGGCAAGAAGAGACCTCCTTTCTTTCCTGATATGGGGAGGGGGTCCTGATTGTTTCCGTCGCCGTTTTAAAGATGGAA